CCTGATCCATGGAGGAATTCCCCGATCCATGGAGGAGAAATTTCTTGATCCATGAGGGAGAAATTCCCTGATCCATGAGGGAGGAATTCCCTGATTCGTGGGGGAGGAATTCCTTGATCCATGAGGGAGGAATTCCCTGGTCCATGGAGGAGAAATTCCCTGATCCACAGAGGAATTCCCCGATCCATGAAGGAGGAATTCCCTGATCCATGGAGGAGAAATTCCCTGATGCATGGAGGAATTCCCTGATGCATGGAGGAGGAATTCCCTGATCCATGAGGGAGGAATTCCCTGATCCATGAGGGAGAAATTCCCTCATCTACGGAGGAGGAATTCCCTGAGAAATTTTCCTCCCCAAAAGCCCCGGCTGGAGCATTCCCTGCTCTCCTCTCCCTCCTCCTCCTCCAGGGTCTCTCCAGGCTGCTGGAATCCCCCTGATCCCAAATTTTCTTTGGGAGAGCAGCACGAGGGGTTAAGCAGGTAAAAATGCACATTCCAGCTGTTTTTCTCCTGGCTCTGCTCGTGGCAGATGCTCCGATATAAAATTCAGATTTGCTCAGATGTGGGAATAATCCAGCTGTGCTCTCCAGCTCAGCTGATCCAAGCTGGAATTCTGGAGCTAAAAGACCAAACCACTGTGCTTTCAGTGAGGCTGGGAGATAAAAATCCCCAGAAAAGCTGTGGAATTCCCATCCCTGGAGCACTGGGATAGTGGAAGGTGGCCCTGCCATGGGACTGGAGCAGCTTTAAGGTCCCTCCCACCCCGGAGCATTCCCTGAATCCATGATTCCATAGAATGAAGCTCGGAGCCACTGGCTTTATTGAAATATTCCAAACAGAAAATGGAAAGCAGGGATAAGGAAGGGGCAGGGGATGAGGCTCCTCCCAGGAAAAGCTGCTGGGGACACTTCTGGAATTCCAGCTGGAGCGTTTTCCCCAGGTTTACTCCCCACTAAGGACAAAATCCAGGTTTGGGCCAGCTCAGAGCAAAGCCAGGCTGGGGTTTTACACCCCAGGGCTGCCCTGCAGGCTGCAGGAGCTGTTCCCACTCAGGGAAAAGCTCTGGGAAGATGGGAATGCTGAGACACGGAGCAGGAGGGTGTTCCCAGCCTGACAAAACCAGGATTTTGTTGGGAAACACTTCCAGGGAGGAGACGTGAAGAACAACGAGGGATTTTTCTCTGGGTTGGGGTCTTGCCCAAAATCCTACAAATAACAAGATGTGGATGAGCCCTTTGGGAAAACAGGGAGAGGAGGAGATCCCTGGCACTTGGGAGCAGAATTCCAGCAGGAAAGGGAAGGTTCTGCAGGTACCTGAGGTGACTCAGGCTCCCAGGAATCTCCATCCCTGCCTCACCCCAGGATGTTTGGCTGATTCTGCTGCTGAGGGGTTATTTTGGGATCTCAAATGAGCTCTGGCAGGCTCCAGGGCTAAATCCTGCCTGGAAAAGTGCTGGGAGAGGGAGGGAAGGAGGGAGGGAGCTGTCTGATCCAGGGAATGTTTGCAAAACACTCCCAGCACACCCAGTTATTTCAGTATATTCACATTTCCATCTTTTCCTATCAGCATCCCACAAAAAGCAAGGCACGAGATGGGTTATTCCAAAGGCAGCATCACAAGATCCATTTGGGAATAAATTGCTTCCTAAGAGATGATCTCTATCAAATCTTTTCCACTTGATCTAAAAGCTGGGCCTATTAGGAGAGAAATGGGAAAGATTGGTGCATTGCCATCAAAAAATTGGTGTTCCAATTCCACTGGAAGTGAAGATGGATTTGATAACCACAAATCCAGGCCTGTTGTCATGAGGGAAATTCAATTTTCAAGTGCAGGAATTCAGGGTGAACTCCCTGCTACAGAATTCCCACAAATTTCTCTTTTCCTGAGGTAAGAGGGGCTCGTTTGGGAGCTTTATAATCCCCTAAAAAAATGAGATTTATCCTTCCATGTCCCCTGCTCAGCTGGGATTTGGGCTTTTCCAGCATTTCAAAGTGGATTCCTTGGTGATTTTTGTTTATGGAGCTCAGGGGCAGCATGTTGGAATCCCACAGGGAAGGGGATGAAGGAATTGTGTCCTTGCTGATGTGATCACCCCACAACCACTCCCAGCCACCCAGCAAAGAGATTTTTTAGGGAAGCATCTCCTCTGCTCCATCCCTGAAAATGCTCCAGGCCAATTTGGGATAGGGGAAGGAATCCCTGCCCAAGGGAATGGGGTGAGATTAATCTGAATCATCAAGCAAAGAACAATCAAACACTTTCCAAATTCAGATTTTTGGCTCAAAACTTCTTTCAGCAACTTCCAGGGGGTGAAAAACAATTTTTTTTTGTCTTTTTCACATCTTTTAAAATAAATTTAAGCTTGACAAGCTCAAAAAAATTTTATTTTGTCACCAGAATTACCAAAACCCACCATTTTTTAGAAATGCCTCCACGGTTTTAAAGCCCAAAAATCACTGTGGGGTCCCTGAGGGAGATTCCCTGGCAGAATTCCACAAAAACCACTCCCAGCAGCCACATCCCATCCCAGAGCTTGTGGAGGAGCAGTGGAAGGGCTGGGAAGTGGCAAGGAAAGATCTGCAGCCTGGAATTTTCCTGGATTTTCCCCTGCTGTGGGAATTCCTGAGCCATTCCCAGGGCAAGAGGGAACAAATCCCAAAGCTTGGGAAGCACAGAACCATGAAATCCCTGCATCCCAAGGCATGGATCTCATCCCAAAATCCTTTAAAATCCCCTAAAAACTCAGCTCAGGAGCCTCCTCCACGCTGTGACCTCAGGGAAACAACTTCCCCTTTTTTTGTTTTTGGTGTGGATCCAAGGAAAAATTGGAATTTAGCAGCTCAGATGGTGCCACCCCCACGTTGGGAACTCAACAAGGGGTTGTAAAAAATCCCCCAAAACTCACCCAGCTGGTGCTGGCCCTGCTCTTCCTCCTCCTCCTCCTCACCCCGCTGAGTCACGGCCCCAAATTCCTGCAAATCAAAGGAAAAAATTGTGAGGATCCTCACGAAGATACTAAAAAAAAAATAAATTTAAAAAAATAAAAAAAAGGAAAAAAGAAAGAGATTCCTGCATGCAATTACACATGAAGGAAAAACATGCAACTTCAGCTGAGCTATGGACATTTCACAGGAAACAGCAATACTGGGGGGGCTAAAAATTGACATTTTCAAACAACTGAGCAGAATTTGGGTTTGGTTTTTCTTTTTTTTTTTTTTTGGCAGTAGCAGGACTAGCTTGGATTCACGTTCATTTTACATCTTTTATCCTTTATAAAAATCCAGGATATTTAAAGATTCCTTTTGGCCCACATTCCATCCCAGTGCATCTGCCAAGGGCACATTATTAAAAGTTATTGCTAATTTATGCCACGTGGGTTGGTTTAAATGTTTATATTTAAAACATTTTTTTTTTTTTTGCTTTTTTTCACGTTTTTGGGTTGTTTTTTTTCCCCTTTTACATTAAATTAACATCTGAAGGGTCGGCTGGGTAAAAAGTTTACGTCACAGGTTTATGGAAAAGAGAAATGTGCTATATTAAAATCAGACATTTAGGTTACCTTTTGGGTTTTGCGGTGCCTGTTAGCTTTACACATCCTGATTTCTCCTGCTGATAATTTTCCTTTAAAAGGGGGGGCATAGGCTGATCTTTTCATCACATTATGCCCTGAAAGCTGACTCCAAACCGGTGTTGAAAATTCAGTTATTTGCACTTTAATAACAATCTATAAATACAACTTTTCTGTGGTTTTTTTAAAAATATTTTTAAATATTCCCCTCAGTTCATGCGCTGCATTTTTGTTGTTTTTGGTTTTTTTTTTTCCCTAAAATTCTATTTTTCACCCCCGAGCAGTTTAATCCTCTCCCCCTAAAATTCCAAATTCATCTGCTGGATGGGAAATAACAAACCACGAAGCATTGATTTTTTTTAAATAGAAATAAATTCAGTATCTCTACATCCACACCCTCTCAGAAAGGATTTAAGGAGCAGCTGCAGCACCTTCCACCAACCAAAAAAAAAATTCATTTTTAAAGCAGTTTTTCCAAGGAAAAGCTGCTTGGAAGCATCATCTTTGCCAAGGGGGGGTTACAGAAAGCAACTTCCTTGGAATTCTCAGCATTCCTACTTAAACCAGGAATATTCTCTGAGGCCACCTGAAATCTGAATCATCGAGCAAAGAACCATCAAACGCTTTCCAAATTCAGATTTCTGGCTCAAAACTGCTTTCAGCAACTTCCAGGGGGTGAAAAACACATTTGGTTCATGCGCTGCATTTTTGGTTTTTTTGTTTTTTTTTTTTTTTCCCTAAAATTCTATTTTTCACCCCCGAGCAGTTTAATCCTCTCCCCCTAAAATTCCAAATTCATCTGCTGGATGGGAAATAACAAACCACGAAGCATTGATTTTTTTTAAATAGAAATAAATTCAGTATCTCTACATCCACACCCTCTCAGAAAGGATTTAAGGAGCAGCTGCAGCACCTTCCACCAACCAAAAAAAAAATTCATTTTTAAAGCAGTTTTTCCAAGGAAAAGCTGCTTGGAAGCATCATCTTTGCCAAGGGGGGGTTACAGAAAGCAACTTCCTTGGAATTCTCAGCATTCCTACTTAAACCAGGAATATTCTCTGAGGCCACCTGAAATCTGAATCATCGAGCAAAGAACCATCAAACGCTTTCCAAATTCAGATTTCTGGCTCAAAACTGCTTTCAGCAACTTCCAGGGGGTGAAAAACACATTTTTTTTTTTTGTATTTTTTTCATATTTTTTAAAATAAATTTAAACTCGACAAGCTCGAAAAATTTTTGTTTTCTCACGAGAATTACCAAAAAAACCACCATTTTTTAGAAATGCCTCCACGGTTTTTAAATCAATAATAATAATAATAATAATAATAAATAATAAAAAAAAAAGACAAATTAAGTTTAGCATGGATTTAAAGTTGTTTGAAACAAAACAAAAAAAACCTCCAAAAACAAATGACAATTCATCACATTTACTTTGATTAAAAAAGGACTAAACTTTATTGACAGATTGAGACAGACATTTTGACACGTTTTGAGCTACCTAGTTAGGCAGACTTTACACAAAATGTAGCATTTTTCTCTTCCAGAACAGAGTGGGAGGACAGTGTAACAAATCCAATTAGGACTTTATCTTATGTACAAAGTGAAATTTGGGATTGTTTTTTGTCTGGTTTTTTTTTTAAATTTTGGTTTGTTTTTTTTTTTACAGCTGCAGTGTCCCTTTTTATGCAAAGCTCGTGCTGAGATACACTTGAACAAGTGGCTGGGACTGCTTGAAATTGAGATTTTTTTTGGGGTGAGGTTGAAGTTTTCATCAGATTTTCTGCCCCAAAGGGCTACAAAAAATCAGAATTTTACAGGCCTACCCATGGAATATTCTTTCTATCAAACACTGGGCAATTAGAGCCATGTTTTGGTTTTTTTCCCCTAAAATTTGCTCATTTAGAGTTCAACTAAAACCCCTTTCCACAGGAAAAATATTCCCAAGCATATCTCAACACTGCACGGGGGGCTAGATTTCAAAATCCACATAAGAAAAGTCAATTTTTTTACCAACCTAATTTTTCCTTTTAAGTCAATTCTCTTTAAAAAACGCTATTTAATTTGTTTGGAGGATCCTTTGGGTTAAAATTTAAACTTCAAGATTCACCAGCAATGTCCTTTTAAAGGTTTGGCATCTGAAGTTATTTTTTTGTTTTTGCTTTTTTTAAATGGTGGCAGCCACTACTGTTACATTAAGATTTTAATTCTTAAAAAATAACCCTGAATTTTGAAATGTAGCCTACTTTGGGATTCTGCAACTACAACCTTTATGGGTTCCTTTAAAACAAACTTTAAAAGTTTTAACAAAACCTTAATTTCAGAACTAAGCAAAGCATGTCACTTTTGGAAACTAACATTTTTTTTAACTTGCTTTTTAGTTGGTTTTTTTTTTTTTTTACCTAAAACGACAAAGAAAGAAAAGCCATCTACACACCGAAGGAAAAAAAAAATAAAAATAATAAAAATTAAAAAGTTTTTCCCCCTCTAAATCTATTTAAATTTATCTCAAGAAATCACTACATACAGAAGCCAAAATGCAAGGTGAGGATGGAGTGGGAAGGAAAAAAAGGGCCAGGAAGAAAAACAGGGAGACAATTACTTGTCTGCTGTGGGTAAAGCAACGGGAATCCCGGGAGATACAAGAACCAGTAACAAGTGTTTGCTCCTAAATTGGGATTTTTGCCCCATTTTTGGGGTTAGTAGCGGCCGTAGGGGTGCTCTCTGTAGCCCCCCTTGACTGGCCGGGCTGAGGGGGCCTTCAGGGAGGGCCGGGTTCCATTCCAGTCATCTTGGCCTGTGGGGAAAAGGAGAAAAAGTCAGGAATGGGAGGAGGGAGGAGGGGAGGGATGGGGATGAAGATGGGCTGGGAGGTGGTGGAGTGTGGGATGGGATGGGCAGAAGAGGTGCTCAAAGGAGCTGCTCAAAATAGGTGCTGATATCCCAAAAACAGCTCCCCAAAACAGGTACTGATATCCCAAAAACAGGTCCTGATCCCCAAAAACAGCTCCCCAAAACAGGTGCTGATCCCCAAAAACAGCTGCTAAAAACAGGTACTGATCCCCAAAAACAGCTCCTCAAAACAGGTCCTGATCCCCAAAAACAGGTCCTGATCCCCCAAAAACAGCTCCTCAAAACAGGTACTGATATCCCAAAAACAGGTCCTGATCCCCAAAAACAGCTCCCCAAAACAGGTGCTGATCCCCCAAAAACAGCTAAAACCAGCTCCTGCTCCCCAAAACCAGCTCCTGCTCCCCAAAACCAGCTCCTGCTCCCCAAAACCAGCTCCTGATCCCCATAAACAGCTCCTGATCCCAAAAAACAACAGCTCCTGATCCCCAAAAACCAGCTCCTGATCCCCAAAACCAGCTCCTGCTCCCCAAAACCAGCTCCTGATCCCCATAAACAGCTCCTGATCCCAAAAAACAACAGCTCCTGATCCCCAAAAACCAGCTCCTGCTCCCCAAAACCAGCTCCTGCTCCCCAAAACCAGCTCCTGCTCCCCAAAACCAGCTCCTGCTCCCCAAAACCAGCTCCTGCTCCCCAAAACCAGCTCCTGCTCCCCAAAACCAGCTCCTGCTCCCCAAAACCAGCTCCTGCTCCCCAAAACCAGCTCCACAGCAGCCCTTGGGAGCAGCCAGCTCCAGCTGCCAGCGCTGCACCGTACCAGGACACAGCACACCCCAACCCTGCTGGGCCACTGGAGGGTGGCCACGGCAGGGGATGATTTAAAGGACCTTTAAGGCCCTTTTCACCCCAAACCACTCCAGAATTCCATGAAAAAAGCAGAGTTTGCTTGTGATAGCCACCCCTGTGAGCTGTCCCTGCCAGATCTGAAACCCAGCCTCCCCAAACCTTCCCTCCACCCACCCCCAGCCCACCTTGGGGATTTATCCTCTAATTCTGTTCTCAGGGAAGCAGAGACCAGAGGGAATAAAAAAAACAGTGGATAAACAGATCAGATTAACCGAGCCAAGTGTCCAAGGGGCACTGTGGGCTCTGAGGGAGCAGGAGGCACAAAAAGCTCTTTGTGCTCAGGGTGACACGGGCTCAGCAAACCCAGGGAACAGCCAGCAGCTCCTGGGAGCAGCTGGATGGAAACATCCTGGCAGGCTCCTGGTTTGGGGTTAAACCTGGAGCAGGGAAAGCCCTGAGGGCTCCTGGGTTTGGGGTTAAACCTGGAGTAGAGAATGCCACAGGGAATAACCTGAGGGCTCCTGGGTTTGGGATTAAACCTGGAGCAGGAACACCCTGAGGGCTCCTGGGTTTGGGGTCAGACCTGGAGCAGAGAAAGTCCTGAGCTCCTGGGTTTGGGATCAGTCCTGGAGCAGGGAAGACCCTGAGGCTCCTGGGTTTGGGGTTAAACCGGAGTAGAGAATGCCTCAATGCTCCTGGGTTTGGGATTAAACCTGGAGCAGGGAATGCCTCAATGCTCCTGGGTTTGGGGTTAAACCTGGAGCAGGGAATGCCTCAATGCTCCTGGGTTTGGGGTTAAACCTGGAGCAGGGAATGCCTCAATGCTCCTGGGTTTGGGATTAAACCTGGAGCAGGGAACACCCCAAGGCTCCTGGGTTTGGGATTAAACCTGGAGCAGGGAACACCCCAAGGCTCCTGGATTTGGATTTAAGCCTGGAACAGGGTGAGCAGGAGACAACAACTCTGCTTCCCTAATTCTGCCAGGACATGAATTCCCAGCTTCCAGGGATCTCCAGCTGGTCAGGAATGTCACCACCTGCACTCACTCAGCTGCGGAAGGGACTGTTCCAGCCACATGGAATTCCACACCTTTAAGGAGAGCTTTGGGAATTTGTCTAAGCCCTGCCCAGCAACAACAAAACTCCTCTGGCTCAGCACAAATCCAGAGTCAGTCCCAGAGCAGCCCTGGGGAGGAAAATGAACCCTGGCCCAGCACAGGCTGCTCTGGGGACAGGGGACAATGATTCCTTCTCATTGCCACAGCCAGATGCCATTCCAAGCCTGGCCATGGGAACTGCCTTCAAAAATAAATGCAGCCACAGCTGAGGGCAGCAGGAGGCAGGGAGGGACCTCTGGAATGTCTTCCCAAGGAAGCAGGGAGTGAATTCCTTGGTTTACTTTGCTTTTCCTGCTGAACTTTATCCCAGCCCATTCATTCCCTCACTTTTACCCTCGCAGTTCTCTCCCTGTCCCATGGGTGGGGAGTGAAATTGGGGTGTGGTTGCCCTTTGGGGTTAAATCACCAAATTTTGGCTCAGCCCAGCCTAAATTGGGAGTTGTACATAATTCAGATTAGCTAAGCTTTGCCTACTGAGTCAAACTGGCTCCACAGAGCCAAGGAGAGGCTCCTCATGACACTTAAATCCAGTTTTTGAGCAGATTTACAGCCCAGAGTCAGGCTCAGCGTTTGTGAGGATAAAGGAAGCAGATGGAACCATATAAAACCCAGCCCATAAAAACCAGACTGCAGCACAACTGCTGTGGGTGGAACCCAGACCTCCTGAAATATTCTAAAGCTACAAGGAAATTAAAACATTCCCAGAGATAAAAAATGGATTTTTTTAAAAGCATCACCATTGAGACCAACCTAAACCCACAGAGAGGTTGTTCAGACCTAAATAAAAACACCACGAGGTTCTCCTCAGTTTTTTATCCAGACATTGGAAACCAGCAAAACTGACCACAAGCAATTCCCAACCCCTTCCTTACCCCAGAATTCCCAGACATACCATAAGCTTCATAGGTTTCCTGTGCCTCCCCATGTCCATAATCATAATACTCTGTCTCCCTGCAAAAGCAACGAGGTGGTTACACACAGGGAAATCCCATTCCCACGCTGCCACAAAAAACCAGGAAAAGAGAAGATGCTCCTAGTCCTGGATTCCAGCAGAGCTCAGGAATGTTTCCATTGGCTTCAAATGGGATTTAAAAAGGGAAAAAAGGGGGAAAAGGCCATGCAGCATTCCTTTGGGAAGAGGGAATCCCACTCACCCTTGGCCCTGGCTGTAGTAGCCCTCGTAGCCCTCGTAGCTCTGCTCTGCGTACGTGTCGTCGTAGCCCTGCGGGGATGGGGACAAAAAAGTGTCACAAAAGGGCCAAAAAGGAACCAAATCCAACCCACAGCAGATGGCAGAGCCTGGAAATCCTGGCCTGCCACAGGGAAAGGGCTCAGGCACAGCACAGAGGGAGCCCCGGGGCCGGCAGGGGCGAGCCACGCTCGTATTTAGGAATTGTTCCATGTCCAGGGATAAATCCGTGTGCCAGGAGAGCTGGGATTGTTATCAGGGAAAGGTTTTATCTCCAGAGGGTGCTGGGCACTGGACAGGCTCCCCGGAGCTGCAGGATAATGCTCCCAGGGATGCACAGGGTGGGATTTTGGGGTGTGTGCAGGGCCAGGAGCTGGGCTGGATGATCCCAGGGGATTCCTGCCAGCTCAGGATATTCCATAGTTCTGTCTCATCCAAACAACACATTTACAACCCCCAACCTCTGAATTTTTCAGTGAAAAACCACCCATTTTGTTTAGAAAAAACACCAAAATTTCAGGTGTATCAGTATTTGTGATGATCCCAGCACCATGCCCATGATCCCTGGTGATCTCAGCACCATCCCAAAGGCTCTGGTGATCCCAGAACCATCCCAAAGGCTCTGGTGATCCCAGAACCATCCCAAAGGCTCTGGTGATCCCAGCACCTTTCCAAGGAGTCCTTGGTGATTCCAACCCCATCCCACTGATCCCTGGTGATCCCAGCCCCATCACCATCCCACTGATCCCTGGTGACCCCAGCACCTTTCCAAGCAGTCCTTGGTGATCCCAGCACCATCCCAGGTGACCCTGGTGATCCCAGAATCAGGAGTCAGTGGGATCCCAACACCATTCCCAGCAGTCCTTGGTGATCCCAGCCCCATCCCACTGATCCCTGGTGATCCCAACACCATTCCCAGGGATCCCTCGTGATCCCACTGATCCCTACCATCCCACTGACGACCCCACTCCATGGCCCCATCCCACTCCCATCCCACTGATCCCTGGTGATCCCAACACCATTCCCAGGGATCCCTCGTGATCCCACTGATCCCTACCATCCCACTGATCCCTGGTGATCCCAGCCCCAGCCCCATCCCACTGACTCCTGGTGACCCCAGCCCCATCCCAACGATCCCTGGTGACCCCATCACTCACGTATTCCTCGTAGCTCTCCGGCACGGGCGGCGGGGGCAGGGGTATCCTCTGGATGCCAGCTGCCCGCGCCCGGGGGGCAGGGGCGCCCCGCACGGCCGGGGGAGGGGGCACCCCCCGGGCCAGCGCGGCCCCCCGCGCCATGGCCCCGCGCACCGCGGCCCCCCGCACCAGCGCCCCCCGCGGGGGAGGAGGAGGAGGGGGCGGCCCGACCCCGCGGCCCCTGGGGGGGGACACAGACAGCGCTGTCAGGGGCTGGCCTCGGGGGGCCAGGGGGGCACAGACCCCACTCCATGGCTCACAGGTGGGTGTATGATATCACGTGTTATCTGTCATATTATACTACACCATATTATATCATAGATTATATTATGTATCATATTATATTATATCGTATTACATCATATACTATATTATGTATCATAGTATACTATATCATATTACATCATATACTATATTATGTATCATATTATACTGTATCATATTATATTATATATCATATTATACTATATATCATATTATGTATCATATTATATTATATCGTATTACATCATATACAATATTATGTATCATATTATGTATAATATTAAATTATATCATATCATATTACATCATATATTATATTACACCATATATTATATTATGCATAATATCATATCATATTATATTATATCATATCATACTACACTAAATTTACTATATTATATTATACTATGTTATATTATATTATACTTAATACTACATTATTATTTACTATGTTATGTTAATACTATATTATTATTTACTATGTTATGTTATATTATGTAAAGTTATATTATGTAATGTTATATTACATTATGCTATATTACATTATATATATTATATTATATTAAACTTTACTGCATTATATTATGCTATATTATGTAACGTTATATTATACTAATTATATATTATGTTATATATTATATATAATTATAATATGTATAATTATGTTATATTGCTTTAGATTGTATCATATTATATCCTATCAATCACTATAATATTATATTTATAATATTGCATTATATTGTATCATATTGTATCCTATTATATTATATCATATAATATGTATTGAAATATATTATACTATATGATATCATATATATCATATCATACTATATATATCATATATCAATATCATATTATATCACATTATACTATATGATATTAAAATGTTGTACTAAAACTATACTAAAAAGAAGAGAGAAAGGATCCATCAGAAGGTTGGAAAAGAAAAGAAATGAATGAATAACAAAATATTGTGATTGCTCACAGCCCCGACACAGGTGGCTGGCAAATTTTGGTCATCAAATAAAAACAATTTCACATGCTGGCTAAACAATTCCCCAAATCACATTCCAAAGCAGCAAAACATGGAGAAGATGAAGCATCCTGGCTTCTCAGCAGAAAAGATCCTGACAAAAGGATTTTTCATAAAATATGTCTGCGACAGTCAGGAGCTGCTGCTCTGGGGAGCCCCAGGACGGGGACTGTCAGTAGTGACAAAAAAATAGCAGAGCTGGGAATTGTGGATTGGCACAGAAATGAGAATGGTTGTGCTGGGAGGGGCACTGAACCCTCCTCTGGGGGAGAATTCTGCTGCTTTGGGTGAAAAGCTGAAATAAGCAGAGGGGCACCTTTGGAATGCAGAATGAATTCCTTGGTTTGCTTTGCTTTTCCTGCTGAACTTTATCCCAGCCCATTCATTCCCTCACTTTTACCCTTTCAAATCTCCCCATCCCATGAGTGGGGAGGGAGTGAGAGTGAGGCTTGGTTGCCCTTTGGGGTTAAATCACCAAATTTTGGTTCAGCCCAGCCTAAGCTGGGAGCTGTACACAATTCAGATTAGCTAAGCTTTGCCTACGGAGTCAAACTGGCTCACAGAGCCAAGGAGAGGCTCCTCGTGACACTTAAATCCAATTCTTGAGCAGATCTAGAGTCAGGCTCAGGGTTTGTGAGGATAAAATAGCTGTAAACAAAGAAATAAATCTGATACACAACTTTGGGCAGGGAATTTCACTCCAAAGGACCCTCCCACCCACCTGGATCACCCCAGATCCCTCAGGACCACTGAGGACATGGGCAGGGACACTGCAGGCAGCAGGAAAAGCACCAGCCCATGGATCAGGGAGTGAGGCAACAGTTTTAGTGCCGATTTATCCCCAAGCTTTGCCAGAAAGATGCCAGCCCAGAGGTGGGAATTCAAGCAGAGAGGATGGGAATTTCAGACTGAGAATGCTGAGGGGTTACAGCACATCCATCACCAGCCAGGCCCGTTTCTGAGATGTTCATGGAACTATTTATGAAACCATTTATAAAACCAGTCATGAAACCATTGTTTAAACCCATCCCAAACCCCCCCGGGTCGGATGACGCCCCAAACACGGAGCCAGAATCCCCCAAGCCAGGTCTAGCCAAGCAGCAGCTTAACCCCTCTGAGAGCTCAGCTGTGGGTGAAAGGCAGCATTGCCAGGGCTGGGATTTTTGGGAATACCTTGGCACAGGGGGAGGGGGAGGTGGGGCTGCCCCCCGGCCCCTCCCGGGGACGCCTCGGCCGCGGTTGGGCTCCGGGACCCCGTTGAGATAGGAGAGCTCCAGGAACTGCTCCTGGCAGATATCATCCATCATGTCCTGCAGGAAGGACAGAAATAAGGATAAAAATAAGGATCAATAAGGATATAAAGGGTCAGCTCCAGAGAACAGCTCTGGGACGTCACAGGCTGCTGCGCTGGGATGAAATGACTGCATGGACCTCAATAAAATCTGGTTTTTCTGCAGCTTTCTCCAAGATCCCAGCCCTGCACCTCCAGGAGATGTTCCCACAATGCCAGGGATGCCAGGAGGATCCGTGGGGGAGAGCCCAGGCAGGTCTGAGCCCACAGCTCCTGTCTACAGGGCAGTGAGCCCACAGGAGGGAACCCTGCAGTGTTCCCACCCCAAAGGGCCCCTTCCAAAGCCAGGCTGGCTTTTCAAATCCTGAAGGATGCAGACTGTGCCTGGCAGGTCCTTGCAGATCCTTCCTTGGGGACTAAAGGGCCAGAGGAGATCACCCAGAGCCATCCCAGGGCTCCCTGGAGCTCCCCAAACCATCCCAGAGCTCCCTGGATTCAGCCCAGCCTAAGCTGGGAGCTGTACACAATTCAGATTAGCTAAGCTTTGCCTACGGAGTCAAACTGGCTCACAGAGCCAAGGAGAGGCTCCTCGTGACACTTAAATCCAATTCTTGAGCAGATCTAGAGTCAGGCTCAGGGTTTGTGAGGATAAAATAGCTGTAAACAAAGAAATAAATCTGATACACAACTTTGGGCAGGGAATTTCACTCCAAAGGACCCTCCCACCCACCTGGATCACCCCAGATCCCTCAGGACCACTGAGGACATGGGCAGGGACACTGCAGGCAGCAGGAAAAGCACCAGCCCATGGATCAGGGAGTGAGGCAACAGTTTTAGTGCCGATTTATCCCCAAGCTTTGCCAGAAAGATGCCAGCCCAGAGGTGGGAATTCAAACTGAGAGGATGGGAATTTCAGACTGAGAATGCTGAGGGGTTACAGCACACACAACACATTTCAAACTGAGAATGCTGAGGGGTTACAGCACATCCATCACCAGCCAGGCCCGTTTCTGAGATGTTCATGGAACTATTTATGAAACCATTTATAAAACCAGTCATGAAACCATTGTTTAAACCCATCCCAAACCCCCCCGGGTCGGATGACGCCCCAAACACGGAGCCAGAATCCCCCAAGCCAGGTCTAGCCAAGCAGCAGCTTAACCCCTCTGAGAGCTCAGCTGTGGGTGAAAGGCAGCATTGCCAGGGCTGGGATTTTTGGGAATACCTTGGCACAGGGGGAGGGGGAGGTGGGGCTGCCCCCTGGCCCCTCCCGGGGACGCCTCGGCCGCGGTTGGGCTCCGGGACCCCGTTGAGATAGGAGAGCTCCAGGAACTGCTCCTGGCAGATATCATCCATCATGTCCTGCAGGAAGGACAGAAATAAGGATAAAAATAAGGATCAATAAGGATATAAAGGGTCAGCTCCAGAGAACAGCTCTGGGACGTCACAGGCTGCTGCGCTGGGATGAAATGACTGCATGGACCTCAATAAAATCTGGTTTTTCTGCAGCTTTCTCCAAGATCCCAGCCCTGCACCTCCAGGAGATGTTCCCACAATGCCAGGGATGCCAGGAGGATCCGTGGGGGAGAGCCCAGGCAGGTCTGAGCCCACAGCTCCTGTCTACAGGGCAGTGAGCCCACAGGAGGGAACCCTGCAGTGTTCCCACCCCAAAGGGCCCCTTCCAAAGCCAGGCTGGCTTTTCAAATCCTGAAGGATGCAGACTGTGCCTGGCAGGTCCTTGCAGATCCTTCCTTGGGGACTAAAGGGCCAGAGGAGATCACCCAGAGCCATCCCAGGGCTCCCTGGAGCTCCCCAAACCATCCCAGAGCTCCCTGGAGATTCCAGAAGGACCCCAGTGATTCCTGAGTCACCCCAGAGCTTCCTGGAGATCCCAAAACCATCCCAGTGCCCCCTGGAAGATCCCAAAACCATCCCAGTGATTCATGAACCATCCCAGAACCTCCCGGAGATCCCAGCACCGTCCCAGAGCTCCCTGGAGATCCCAGCACCATCCCAGTGATTAGCACCATCCCAGTGATTACTGGAGATCCCAAAACCATCCCAGTGATTCCATCCCAGTGATCCTGAACCATCCCAGAACCTCCTGGAGATCCCAGCACCGTCCCAGAGCTCCCTGGAGATCCCAGCACCATCCCAGTGATTACTGGAGATCCCAAAACCATCCCAGTGATTCCTGAACCATCCCAGAACCTCCTGGAGATCCCAGCACCGTCCCAGAGCTCCCTGGAGATCCCAGCACCATCCCAGTGATTACTGGAGATCCCAAAACCATCCCAGTGCCCCCTGGAAGATCCCAAAACCATCCCAGTGATTCCTCAGTCACCCCAGAGCTCCCTGGAGATCCCAAAACCATCCCAGTGATTCCTGAACCATCCCAGAACCTCCTGGAGATCCCAGCACCGTCCCAGAGCTCCCTGGAGATCCCAAAACCATCTCAGAGCTCCTTGGAGATCCCAGAACCATCCCAGAGATGCCAGCACCATCCCAGAGCTCCCTGGAGATCCCAAAACCATCCCAGTGATTCCAGAACCATCCCAGAGCTCCCTGGAGATCCCAAAACCATCTCAGAGCTCCTTGGAGATCCCAGAACCATCCCAGAGATGCCAGCACCATCCCAGAGCTCCCTGGAGATTCCAGAACCATCCCAGAGATCCCAGCACCATCCCAGAGCCTCCTGCAGATCCCAGTGCTGATCTCCCACCGGATGTCTGAACTTCCCCGTTTCTTTCCCTAATTTAGGAACCAATTTTCATTTGAATTTTAATTTCGGGAGAGACTCCTTCAAGGAGCAGGGAACTCACAGGGACCAGGAATTTCTTGACCTCCTCCATGGCGTGGGCCATGAGGGCGTAGGCCTCGCAGGGGGGCCCGAAGACCTCGATGAAAACGTGCAGGTCCATGTTGAGGTGCGCGTACTTGGGATCGCCGCCCTTGCGCAGCTCCTCCTCCTGGAAAAAAACAATTATTTTATTTTATTTTATTTTAATTTAATTTATTTTAATTTTTATTTGGGATCCCCACCCTTGCGCAGCTCCTCCTCCTGGAAAAAAACAATTATTTTAGTTTATTTTATTTTAATTTAATTTATTTTAATTTTTATTTGGGATCGCCGCCCTTGCGCAGCTCCTCCTCCTGAAAAAAACCCAATTATTTTATTTTATTTTATTTTAATTTTTATTTGGGATCCCTGCCCTTGCGCAGCTCCTCCTCCTGGAAAAAAAACAATATTTATATTTATATTTTATTTTATTTTATTTTATTTTATTTTATTTTTTTTTATTTTTTATTTTTTATTTGGGATCCCCGCCCTTGCACAGCTCCTCCTCCTGCAGAAAACCCAGAATTATTTTATTTTATCTTATTTTAATTTTCATTTGGGATACCCCCCTTTGCAGAGCTCCTCCTCCTGCAGAAAACCCACAGAATTATTTTAGTTTATTTTATTTTAATTTTTATTTGGGATACTCCCTTTTGCGCAGCTCCTCCTCCTGAAAAAACCCATAGAATTATTTTATTTTATTTTAATTTTTATTTGGGATCCCCGCCCTTGCGCATCTCCTCCTCCTGGAAAAAAACCAATTATTTTATTTTATTTTATTTTAATTTTTATTTGGGATCCCCGCCCTTGCGCAGCTCCTCCTCCTGAAAAAAACAATTATTTAATTTTATTTTATTTTAATTTTTATTTGGGATACCCCCCTTTGCAGAGCTCCTCCTCCTGGAAAAAAAACAATTATTTTATTTTATTTTAATTTTTATTTGGCATCCCCGCCCTTGCGCAGCTCCTCCTCCTGCAGAAAACCCAGAATTATTTTATTTTATCTTATTTTAATTTTCATTTGGGATACCCCCCTTTGCAGAGCTCCTCCTCCTGGCAGAAAACCCACAGAATTATTTTAGTTTATTTTATTTTAATTTTTATTTGGGATCTCCCTTTTGCGCAGCTCCTCCTCCTGAAAAAACCCATAGAATTATTTTATTTTATTTTAATTTTTATTTGGGATCCCCCTCTTTACAGAGCTCCTCCTCCTGCAAAAACCCCAGCAGAATTAGTTTATTTTATTTTTATTTTAATTTTTATTTGGGATTTCCACCTCCTGCTAAAAGGCCCAGCAGAATTATTTTATTTTCATTTTAATTTTAATATTTTTAAAATTTTATTTTTATTTGGGATCCCCCTCTTTACAGAGCTCCTCCTCCTGCAAAAACCCCAGCAGAATTAGTTTATTTTATTTTTATTTTAATTTTTATTTGGGATTTCCCCCTTTGTAGAGCTCCTCCTCCTGCTAAAAGGCCCAACAGAATTATTGTACTTTTATTTAATTTTAATTTTGTTTTTATTTTATTTTAATTTTATTTTGATTTTATTTTTAGTTGGGATTCCCCCCCCCCCCCCCCCCCCCCCCTTTGCAGAGCTCTCCCTCCTGCAGAAAAAACCCAGCAGAATGATAAAAAATGGAATTTGTAAAGAATTTTTCAATTTTACAGGAAGCTTCCATGGTTCTGTACACCCGTGTGTACAATTTTTTTTTTAAGATATCTTGAAGACATTTCTGTTTCTCAGGCTGTTTTGCAGTTATTTAAGAAGTTCCAAAGAAGCTGAAAGTATAAAACCTTTTGTGCTGCTCAAGTAAAATCAGAATTAAGCTACAGCTCTGCCCAAAATAAGCAAGAAGAAATAAAAAGAATATTTTTCATATTCTTTTCATATTTTTTTGCTGTTTAAAAACCCCTCCTGGTACTTTGTCATTCAAAATTATTCAAATTTTTTGTGCCCAAAAATTATCAGGCACACATTGCTCCAACATTTCCACTGAACCAGAAGAATTTAAATATTTTAGAGCAGCTAAAAAAAGAGATTTTTAACTTTTTACAGAGAGGAAAAATATCCCTTTAGTGAATGTCCCTTCAGGAGAATAATCCTTATTTTATCAGCTTTTAAATTCATATTTAATTAAAGATTTTTCTTGTTTAATTTTTAATAAAATGCTTGGAGAGCTGCTAATTGTCACCCTTAAATGGGATTTTGTTCTCCCTTACCTTGGCTTTGTCCCTCATGGAACCTTTCCCCAGTACAGAGATTTTAGCACCAGTTTCTTCCTGAAGTCTCTTAATGGTGTTGCCTTGGGGTCCCAAAATCTTCCCAACGAAGTTGAACTGGAAATTAAGGAAAAAAAAACCAAAATAAATCAGCTCCAGAGCTCAAAAATGTCAATAATTTTTTTTTTTTTTTAATGTTGTGTCAGTTGATTTAAAAAAAATAAAAATCACATTTAATTTTTTCCTCGTTTAAGCAAAAAATGTATAGGGAAATTTAAGGTTTGAAAGGAGAATTTAAGATTTGAAGAGAAGATTTAAGTTTTGAAAGGAAAATCCAAGTTTCAAAAGGAAAATCCAGGTTTCAAAAGTAAAATTCAAACTTCAAAGGAAAAATTAAAGTTTTGAAAAGAAAATTCAGGTTTCAAAAGAAAAATTCAGGTTTCAAAAGGAAAATCCAGGTTTCAGAAGGAAAATTCAAACTTCAAAAGGAAAATTCAAACTTCAAAGGAAAAATTCAAGTTTTGAAAAGAAAATCCAGGTTTCAAAAGCAAAATTCAAAATTAATTCAAGCTTCAAAAGGAAAACTCAAGTTTTGAAAAGAAAATTCAAATTTCAAGAGGAAAACTCAAGTTCCAAAAGGAAAATCCAGGCTTCAAAAGGCAAATTCAAGTTTCAAGAGGAAAATTCAAGTTTCAAGAGGAAAATTTAAGTTTCAAGAGGAAAATTCAAGTTTCTAACCTTTCTTTTAATGAAAAACCAAGCTAAATTAAGTGGTTCAATCCCAACATCTGCAGCAGCTTTGCAGCAAACCTTTAAGGAATTAAATGCACAAAAAAATTCAAGTTTTGAAAAGAAAATTCAGGTTTCAAAAGGAAAATTCAAGCTTTGAAAAGAAAATTCAGGTTTCAAAAGGAAAATCCAAGTTTCAAAAGGAAAATCCAGGTTTCAAAAGGAAAATTCAAAATTAATTCAAGCTAAAAAAGGAAAACTCAAGTTTTGAAAAGAAAATTCAAATTTCAAGAGGAAAACTCAAGCTTCAAAAGGAAAATCCAAGCTTCAAAAGAAAAACTCAAGTTTCAAGACAAAAATTCAAGTTGCAAGATGAAAATTTAAGTCTCAAGAGGAAAATTCAAGTTTCAAAAGGAAAATTCAAGCTTCAAAAGAAAAATTCAAGTTTCAAGAGGAAAATTCAAGTTGCAAGATGAAATTTTAATGAAAAACCAAGCGAAATTAAGTGGTAAAGGAAAACTCAAGTTTTGAAAAGAAAATTCAAATTTCAAGAGGAAAACTCAAGTTCCAAAAGGAAAATCCAGGCTTCAAAAGGCAAATTCAAGTTTCAAGAGGAAAATTCAAGTTTCAAGAGGAAAATTTAAGTTTCAAGAGGAAAATTCAAGCTTTGAAAAGAAAATTCAGGTTTCAAAAGGAAAATCCAAGTTTCAAAAGGAAAATCCAGGTTTCAAAAGGAAAATTCAAAATTAATTCAAGCTAAAAAAGGAAAACTCAAGTTTTGAAAAGAAAATTCAAATTTCAAGAGGAAAACTCAAGCTTCAAAAGGAAAATCCAAGCTTCAAAAGAAAAACTCAAGTTTCAAGACAAAAATTCAAGTTGCAAGATGAAAATTTAAGTCTCAAGAGGAAAATTCAAGTTTCAAAAGGAAAATTCAAGCTTCAAAAGAAAAATTCAAGTTTCAAGAGGAAAATTCAAGTTGCAAGATGAAAATTCAAGTTGCAAGATGAAAATTTAAGTTTCAAGAGGAAAATTCAAGTTTCTAACCTTTCTTTTAATGAAAAACCAAGCTAAATTAAGTGGTTCAATCCCAACATCTGCAGCAGCTTTGCAGCAAACCTTTAAGGAATTAAATGCACAAAAATGCAAAGAAAGCTGCACCCGTGGAATTGGCTGCTCCAGAAGCCACGATCCCAGCTCTGCAGCACCACTTACCCTGCAATATCCCAAAAAATTCAATATATTACAAATAAAATCCCTGCAGGCCTGGAGAAAAACCCAAACTACTTCTCGTTTTTCGAAAGAAATCTCTTGGATTTTGGATGAAAAAGCAGATTTAATTCCTGCTGCTGCTTTGGCAGCCAGAAAATCCCACAGAAAAGAGGAAAATCTCTGGGATTTTGTGATTTTTTCTGGCCTCACCTTGGGGTACTGCTTGACAGGGATCAGAACTCGTTCCTTCAGTTTCATATTCTTGTGGGAAAATAAATCCAGGTAGTTTTCTTCTTCATCCTTTTTTGTTGTCTCACCCTTCTGAATTTTTTCAATTTCTAAATAAAAAGAAAATTATATAATAATAGAAATAGATAATAATAATAAATAGATAATAATAAAAAATATGTAATAATAAATATATATAATAATAAATATATAATAATAAAAATATATAATAATAGAAATATAATATAAAAATATTATTATAAATAGGAATATAAATAATAGAATTATCAATAATAATCCAAAAATAATAATGTAAAATATAAACAATAATATAAAATAATATAAATATTAGAAATATAAGCAAACTATATATATTATTATTAATAATATAAATAATAATATAAAAATAGGGCTTCTTTATCTTTTCCTTAAAGAATCATAAGATCAGAGATGGAATCACAAGAACAAAACCCTACAAATGCCAGAAGGAAATTCCTCTGCCTTCCCTTAAATCTGCAAAGAAACCAGCCCAAAATACATACAATTTTAATTTATTTTTGCTAAATTGGGACAGAAATCTGCAATTTTTTATCACCCAACTCACATTTATTTAAAATCTGCCCTTTAATTAGTGGTGGCAACACCTCCAGGCAGATGAGTTTTGGTAAAGTTGAAAATATTCCCAATAAATAGCATTGGAATGGTGGGACTTGGAATGGAATTGTTAGGAATAGAAACACCAGTTTTTAATTTATTATTTAATATTAAATATCTGATTTAATTTTTAAATTTTTTTTTTGTTATTTCCTAGCCCAGTGTGGTGTGGGTTAGAAAATTCTCCCAGCTTCATTTCACTAAATAAATTCAGATTTCTCACCCAAACCATTGTTAAGTGGGTTTTAAACCCTGATGTGTGGGATCTAAAATAGAATTATTTGGAATAGAAACACCAGTTTTTAATTTATTTTTAATATTTAATTAAATATTTGATTTAATATTTTTATGTAATTTAATTTTTTTTTTCCTAGCCCAGTGTGGTGTGGGTTAGGAAATCCTCCCAGCTTCATTTGATGAAATAAATTCAGATTTCTCACCCAAACCATTCCTAGGTGGGTTTTAAACCCTCAGGTGTGGGATCTAAAATAGAATTATTTGGAATAGAAACATCAGTTTTAAAATTTCTTATTTAATTTAATTTTTAAATTAATTTTTAAACTAAAATTTTAAATTTGTTTTATTTCCTAGCCCAGTGTGGTGTGGGTTAGGAAATTCTCCCAGCTTCATTTGATGAAATAAATTCAGATTTCTCACCCAAACCATTCCTAGGTGGGTTTTAAACCCTCAGGTGTGCAGCCATAAAATCGAGTCCCAAAAATCCTTAATTCAACAACACAACCCCAAATATTTCATCTCCCAAAATTAAGATTTTTTTTGCTTGTGGTGAATTAAAAATGAGTTTTAAAACCCCAGTGAGGTGGCCTGGGACAGCCCCAATTACCTGCTGGAATGAGGTCATTAAGGGAAATTAATTAGGGACTGGCAGACCCAGACCTGCTGGAAATTCAGATTTCACAGGAGATGGAAAATCCTCTCCAGGCATTTCCGAGTTAATAATTCCATTTCCCCCTGGATTTCCCTTTTCAGGGATAATAAAATCACAATTTTTATTTCAAGGCCAACAAATCCAGGAGAAGTTCCCCCAAGTTTGGAGTCAATCCATTGTTAACAACCCCAAATTCCTGCTCATCCTTTGGTCCAACAGAAAAAAAAAAACCAAATTGATCATAATAAATCACATCATAAATATCCATTAAATCCTGATTTCAGGCTCTTTATCAGGAGAGGTGAAAAATCAAATTGTGTCATTTCACCAACAAACCCAAGGCTTGTAAATTGAATTTCTGAGCATTTTTCCTAGGCAAAAAGACACTTCCCAAGGCTTGTAAATTGAATTTCTGAGCATTTTCCAAAGGAAAGAGAGACTTCCCAAGGCTTGTAAATGGAATTTCTGAGCATTTTCCAAAGGAAAGATACTTCCCCCGACGTGTAAATAGAATATTTGAGAATTTTTCCTAGGGAAAGATACTTCCCAAGGCTTGTAAACTGAATTTCTGAGCATTTTCCAAAGGAAAGAGACACTTCCCAAGGCTTGTAAATGGAATTTCTGAGCATTTTTCCTAGGGAAAGAGACACTTCCCAAGGCTTGTAAATGGAATTTCTGAGCATTTTTCCTAGGGAAGAAGACACTTCCCAAGGCTCATAAATTGAATTTCTGAGCATTTTCCAAAGGAAAGATACTTCCCAAGGCTTGTAAATGGAATTTCTGAGCATTTTCCAAAGGAAAGAGACACTTCCCAAGGCTTGTGAATGGAATTTCTGAACATTATTCCTAGGGAAGAAGACACTTCCCAAGGCTCATAAATTGAATTTCTGACATTTTTCCTAGGGAAAGAGACACTTCCCAAGGCTCATAAATTGAATTTCTGAGCATTTTCCAAAGGAAAGAGAGACTTCCCAAGGCTCATAAATTGAATTTCTGAGCATTTTCCAAAGGAAAGATACACTTCCCAAGGCTTGTAAATGGAATTTCTGAAAACATCTGTGAAAATGCATCCTGCAGACTCACAAGAAGTGTTCCTTACACACGCCCCCAGAACAAAAACCCCCTCAAGCTCCCTTGGTAAAACCGAACGAAACGCGCATTAATTACTGCTAAACTCAAAGATTAAAACGCAATTAAGCACGGGGATTTCCTGCCTCCTGGAAGCAGCCTGGAGAGCTCTGCAGACCAGTGCATCCCAGTTGAGAGGCAGCAGAATCCATCCCTGCCTGCTGCCGCAGCTGCAGGAACAGCTGGAATTGGCTGGGAGGCCACGGGAACGCAGAGAGTGACGGGAAGGAAACGGAATTCAAACCAGGCGGCGGCAGCTCCGCGCCTGGGAACGCAGAATGTAAGGAGGAAGGAGCAGAGGGATTCCAAGCTCGGGGAATTCCAGGATCTGGGAATGCCAAACTTTGGGAATTCCAAACTTCTGGGAATTCCAGGCTCTGGGAATTCCAAACTTTGGGAATTCCAAGCTCTGAGAATTCCAGGATCTGGGAATGCCAAACTTTGGGAATTCCAAGATCTGGGAAATCCAGGCTCTGGGAATTCCAAACTTTGGGAAATCCAAACTTTGGGAATTCCAAGCTCTGAGAATTCCAGGATCTGGGAATGCCAAACTTTGGGAATTCCAAGATCTGGGAAATCCAGGCTCTGGGAATTCCAAACTTTGGGAATCCCAAGATCTGGGAAATCCAGGCTCTGGGAATTCTAAGCTCTGGGAATTCCAGGCTCTGAGAATGCCAAACTTTTGGGAATTCCAAACTTCAGCAATTCCAAGCTCTGGGAATTCCAAACTTTGGGAAATCTAAGATCTGGGAATTCCAAACTCTGGGAATTCCAGGATCTGGGAATGCCAAACTTTTGGGAATTCCAAACTTTTGGGAATTCCAAGCTTCAGCAATTCCAAGCTCTGGGAATTCCAAACTTTGGGAAACCTAAGATCTGGGAAATCCAGGTTCTAGGAATGCCAAACTCTGGGAATTCCAGGATCTGGGAATGCCAAACTTTGGGAATTCCAAGCAGGCTCTGGGAATTCCAAGCTTCAGCAATTCCAAGCTCTGGGAATTCCAAGATCTGGGAAATCCAGGCTCTGGGAATTCCAGGCTTCAGCAATTCCAAGCTCTGGGAATTCCAAACTTTGGGAATTCTAAGATCTGGGAAATCCAGGCTCTGGGAATTCCAGGCTCTGGGAAGGTCAAACTCTGGGAATTCCAGGCTCTGGGAATTCCAAGCTCTGGCAATTCCAGGCAGCCCCAGGCCCAAGGAGAGCCTGGAAGGAGGTGCGGAAGGATAAAATCCCGGCGGCGGTGCCCTGGATGTGACACCAGGAGCAGCTGTGGGACACCCGGAAGGCCAAGGTGTCCACAGCTTCCCACTCCAGAGGATTTTTGGGAGCAGGTTCCCTGCTTGCCACGGGGAATGTCAGCAGCTGGCAGCACGAGTGGCTTTTCCAGGGATTCCTGAGGGGCAGGGATGGGCTCAGCAGGATTCCCAGGGGGCAGGGAAAGCTCAGCTGCTGCTCCTGAGCTATTCCTTAGGAATCAAAATCCATGGAAATGCCAGCCTGCAGCTCAGCTGGGCTCTGGGAGAACATTGGTTTGTCAGAATGAAAATGTCACCTGGAAAATCAAGCAGAATGATCCCTAAAAAAATCCTAAACTCCAAAGAATTTGGGGGTGGCACCTCTGAGGAAAGCAGAGCCTCCTCCTCCATCCTTCCCTGCTGCCCAGCTGGTTTTTCTCGGGAAGGGGAAGCAGTTCCCAGCCAGATTCCAAGAATTTGGCAATCCTAATCCCACTGTTTCCCACCCCAAAATACATCCCCAGCCTGGGATTCCAGCCTGGCACTCCTGGGCAGGCAGCTCTGCTGGGAAGGGAGGGCACTGCCAGGAGAAGGGGAGGGAAAGGTGAGATTTGGGATGTGGCACAGCGGGGACAAACTCCTGGGATGGCAGCGGGAACGGGAACGGCCACGGCAGCAGGAATGGCCACTGAGGTGGGAATGGCCACTGAGGTGGGAATGGCCACTGAGGTGGGAATGGGAATGGCCACAGCTCTGGGAATGGCCACTGAGGTGGGAATGGGAATGGCCACAGCTCTGGGAATGGCCACTGAGGTGGGAATGGCCACTGAGGTGGGAATGGGAATGGCCACAGCTCTGGGAATGGCCACTGAGGTGGGAATGGGAAGGTGGGAATGGGAAGGTGGGAATGGGAAGGTGGGAATGGGAATGGCCACAGCTCTGGGAATGGCCACTGAGGTGGGAATGGGAAGGTGGGAATGGCCACTGAGGTGAGAATGGGAAGGTGGGAATGGCCACTGAGGTGGGAATGGGAAGGTGGGAATGGCCACTGAGGTGGGAATGGGAAGGTGGGAATGGGAATGGCCACAGCTCTGGGAATGGCCACGGCGGTGCCAGCAGTTGAGAACATTGCCATGGCTGAACAAAACAGAAGTTGAAAAGTGCAAAGTGAAATGATTCCAGAACAAGCCAGCCTGAGAGAGCTGGGGACAGCTCCAGGCGGCAGCTTGGGGACAGGATATCCATTGGAAGGACAGGAATTGAGGGAATCCCTGTCAGGAGAGCCTGGACTGCCCGTGGAACCAGCTTCAGGGTGACCCCTCTCACCCAGCGACCTCAGCCCTCTCCAATAATCCCTGCTTGGCTCCCAGGAGCCACCACCCACCCGTGGGACATTCCCAGCCCTTCCCCATTCCAGGGATGCACAGCCTGGATCTGGCCTGAATCCAGCAGGGAATTCCGTGGGGGAGTCCCCCAGCACCTCCAGCTGCTCCTTCCTGCCCCCATTCCCACCCCTCCTGGAATGCCACAGCTCACACATCCTTGGGATGCTCAGCTCTTTTCCCGTGGTTTCTCCATGAAATAAAACCGGCTAGAATTCCTAAAAAAATCCCAAAACCCCACAGCTGGCTGACACACAGGTGGGATATCTCCCTTTTCCCAAAGCAGGGAAGCAGAGAGGGTTGTGCACTTCACACCTCCCCTGCTCTTTCCACAGCATAAACACAAAGGAAAAAAGAAAAAAAAAAAGGATTTTCTTGTTCCTATGGAAAAGGAAGGTCACACAGACCCCAAATGCCAGGAGGGAAATGTGGATTATATTTGAAAATGCAAGAAATCCCAATTTTCAGTTTCTCTTTAGGATAACAGAACCCTCAGTGCAGCCACTTCCATACCAGAGTCCATGGAATTAATAAGAATCCCTTCACTGCCAGGCCTTTGCTCCCAAGAAAAGCCAAAAAAAAATTATAAATACCCCTTTAAAAATATAAAACCACCACAGTATTTTCGACAACTTGATGTTGTTTAAAAGAAATGAACACAGAATTCCAGCAGGGCTCCCTCCCTGAGGCAGGCAGCCGGAGCAACTTCCACTCCTGGGAAGGAAAAAAAGGCTGGAATAAAAATTCTGCTGACAGCCAGGATCATCCCTGCCTCTGGAAATCATTTTGGTGGAGCTGTGCTGGCTCTGTGCATCACAGAGCTGAAATTCCAAGGAATCCTGAGCACTCTGGGGCTCATCCAGGCAAAAAAAAATTCCCTAAATCCACCATTTTACCTCAAATTCTTCCTCATTGCTTTCCTGCTCGGCTCACCCTGACCTGGGACTGGGAACGCTCCCAAAAAAAAATTAAAAAGTGATTTTCAAAATACCCACGGCTGGAGCTGCTCCAGTTTTAAATCTCTCGAAGCTGCAATCATTAAATTAATAAAAAATTAATTAATTTTTTAAAAACCCCTCCTAAATGCCTGTTCCACCCTCAGGTGGAGGAGGCTCTGCAGGATGCTGCTTTTGGGTGGGAATTTGCAAACTCCTCGGGTTTCCTTCGCCTGGGAGGCGTCAGAGCTGAAGAATTTCGTTAATCAGGATCATTAAACTGATGGAAAATCGGATTATAAAACTCATTTATTGAGATCAAGGTGCTGCTGTGATGGGTTGTTTGCACAATGGGAGAGACAGCAATTCCCAAGAATTATTCCTTGCATAAAACAAGCTCCTAAAACCTCCAGAGCTGCACCAAAACTCTGCTTTTTTTAAGCCCCGGCAAAATAAAGAATTAAAAAAAGAGCAGGCGGAGAAAGAAAGAATTTTTAAAATTCCAATTAATAGTTTTAAATTGTTAATTAAAAATAATTGAATTAAATAAAGTATTCTTAAATAAATCATTATTGAATAAATTATTAAAATCTGATCAATTAAAATAAAATTTAATGATTCAATTAATTAAAATAATTTAGATATTCCAATAAATATAATTTAAAATCCCAATAAAAACTAAAAAATTAAACCAATAAACAATACTATTATTAATAATAGTAATGATAGTAATATTATTAATAATAAAATAATAAAAATAAGAATAAAATAATAAAAATTAAATCATAATAACGTTAATAATTATGATGATGAGGATAACAATTTTAAGAGCAGGTGGAAAAAAAAATTTTTAAAAAGCACAAGTGGAAATTAATAATGATAATGTTAAAAGCAGGAGGAAAAAATAAATAATTTTTAAAAGCACTAGTGGAAATTAATAATGATAATAATAGTAGTAGTAGTGGTAATAATAATAATAATAATAATAATAATTACTATTATTATTAATATTATTGCAGGTGGGAAATAAATAATTTTTTAAATCACCGGTGGTGATGAAATCTGAGCAGATCCTTGCTCTGGGAGCCTCCCAGCACACAGAGGTTGGCAATATTTGAACCGGTTCCCGTTTTTGGCAGCGGAACGGGCCGGGGCTGCAGGGGGAGATCCGGGAACAGCCGGGCCGAGCCGGGCCGGGCACAGCCGAGCCGAGCCGAGCCGAGCCGGGCACAGGCGAGTCCAGCCGAGCCGGGCCGAGCCGACCCAGGCCGGGCCGAACCAAGCCGAGCCGCCAGGACTGGGCAGCGCCGGGAAGGAAGGCTCGGCTGGGCTCAGAACAAAGCCTGCCATTTCCAGCCCAGCTCGGCACTCCCAGCAGGGAAAAATCCCCGCCCGGTACAAAAGAACCATTTTAAGGTTCTTTTTTAGCTCCTCTGTCCCCAGGGGTGGGAGGGCTGCCCTGATTTCGCCGAGGACAGAGCTGCTTTTCTTCCCCACAGCTGTTTTTTGGGGTTTTATGGGAATCGCGTTACCCGATATTTCGGTGTTTAACCCTTGTCAGTAAGGACAGGAGCTGTCCCCAAAGCAGGACAGGTCACCAGAAGGGGCCAAGGGGACATTCCACCCCCGGACTGCCACCCTAGGAACTGGAAGGAGCTCGGGGATGGGCTGGTGACGAACGGGGCATCGCTTGTTTCTCCCTCAACACAAAATAATTAAAAACCTACCCTGTATCTCACACTACTACCCATATCACCATCCCAAACCTTGAAAAACAAATCCTACAAAAACAGAATATCCCTAAAAACCCCATTTTTTTTAAAATTATAATTGTGACCATCAAAATTATCATTATTTATTAGCGTATTTACCATTACCGTCACGTTTTATTTCAATTATTAAACGCTTCTCTCATGGGTTTTCATTCTCTTCATTCTGCCTGGCTGAGGCCACACCACAACCAACACAATAAAACCACCAATAAAACACACGCAGAACTCGCTGCTCTGCGGATTAAGCTGCGATCACACAGGGAAATATCTCATTTTAACCCCGTCTCGCTCCGGAGCCACAACGGCCACCGGGACCCGCTGCCCGCCCGTGCCCGCCCCGGTACCTGCGCTGAGGAGCTGCATGGCGTGCGTGAAGGACGGGTCCAGGCTGTCCTTCTCGGCCATCAGCTCGGGCAGGTACTTGTTCTCGGGCTCCATCTTGCCGCCAACCATACCGCCCGAACCACCGGAGCCTGAGGCCCCACCGGCCCCACCGGGAGGCGGCTGCGCTCCGCTGGCGGCCCCGCGGGCCCCTCCGCCACGGGGCGGTCGGCGCGGCTGCG